ACAAATTGTCAGGCAAGCCACCTGGGCGCGACTTTGATTGGTTTATCTTGGTGGCACAAAGAAAATTAGTACTTCTATTTGGCAAGAAGCTCTTGGTCGGTATCTGAGAAATGCAGGCGTTTCGCGGCCTAAGGAGTGTTGCCGGCAAAACACTGGAGTAGTAATTTATAGATCGCCTGCCAACGTTAATTATCCACACCCAAACTCAGATCAGAAGACCCAGAACTGTGTTGTGAAAATATGGAGTCCACCACTGAATTCGACTTGTCCAATAGGCCAGCAACCGATGAGAATATTTTTTATGACCTCCAAGCACGCGCAGACATTCGTGCAAAAATTTGTGCTCGTGTTGATTACGAAAACGATTCATGTCGACGATTGTCCACTCGGGTGTTTATAAACATTTAGTGGACTAAGTGTTGGTTGATTGAGGTTTAATTTGCCTGTAAGTCGTCCTATCGGCCTAAAGCCTAGGTTTAGTTGTAATAACAACTCGAATAGAAAGAACACCGTCGCGAACGTGGGGAATGTCACAAAAATCGTCCACAGACTCGATTAAATTAAGGATGCCACACTCATTTGGAAACACGGAAGTCCCAAGAATGCAAGTACTCCATTTCCTAGATTGCGTATAAAAATTAGTTCCTCGGAAGTTCAGGCACGAACACTTTCAGGTGTCTAACGTTACTGACACGGCGTTAACTCAACTATGAACTCGGATAACTAGGTTCTCGTGTGTACATTGATTCGTGGGGTGTACGCCATGAGACCTGCTACATAAACACGATGAAAGCCAATACAAGTTCCGGATGCATGTAAACAAGAGAAGTGTATGGTAAGCATTGCTACAAGGTTTCCAAATACAGAAAAATGGACCTAATAATATTGGTTAGAAACACTGGAAGCACCTAAATTAATTACTCGCTGTAGACTACAAGGACAAAGGAGTTTATGTGGGCAGACAGGAAGGCGGTGCGACAAGTTTGCGACCGACAGAATATTGAACAAAAAGGCGTCCGTCATGGAAAGTAGTGCTAACACTAAAGCAGGAAGCCTAGTTCCCTACCGATCGTTCCAATGATTCGCAAGCTCAATGTCGGACTGGTTTGTAGTAAAGTCTGCAGGAACTTCTGAATTCGGACTAGTTGGCTGACCACAGTCCAGAAGCTAGGTATCTATAAATAGAGGTGTGGCACCAGGGTGTTTAGTATGATACGTAAAGAAGTCACTGACATATGCATCCACTTTCCTTTGATATCGCCTGTCAGTCGATCACACTTATTGCAAACACTACG